ATTTAATTGCTGTGCTACACCATCTTACGGCTCTTGGCAATTAGCAGCAATCATACAGCGCAGCAATTAAATGAACATGGTAAATTAAAATCTAATTAAATCAAAACCACCTAGCATAATTTTGACAGCGTCATTATTCATTCCAAAGTCCCCTGGAATAATTCAGACTTAATCAGTTTCCAGAAGTCTAATAACAATGGAACTATTTTCACCTTTCAAGAGGAAGCCGTTACAGTGAACTTTGGCTATCGCTGAGAGATCGAAGTTCAGCTACATTCGGGAAGGATTATTCTATTTAGAGGTGGCAGGACAGGTAGTCCTTATCTTACAACCACAACTGAGCCCAGCATTTCCATTGCTAAACGAGTCAATTATTAAGTGAGTTTTGCCCCATTTTACGACCTGTCTTGCCAAAGTTGTTAAGTGAATCACTGTAGTTGTTAAATCAGTAACATGGTTATGGCTTAGAATCTGGCTTCCCTCATTGACTTTTATCTTTTCTTTTATGTATACTGAGAGTATTTACACCAAGACAAATTCCTTGTGTGTCCAATCACACGTGGCCAATAAAGAATTCTGTTCTGTTCTATTCTATTCTATTCAAAAGGGGACCACATGAACCCAGGACACTGCAACGGTGATCAATACATGTCAGTCGCCAAGTGTCTGAATGTTGATCATGTGATGCAATGGTCGTAAGTGTGAAAACTGGTTATAAGTCACTTTTTTTCCATGGTAACTTTGAACAGTCACTAATGGAATGCTTGTAAGCCGAGGACTGCCTGTGCACCAAATGCACAAACTTACATATTTATTTAATTTATTTCTACCACAATCAATATAAATTTTTGGTTGTTTATATCCAAGACAAAAGACAATAAAACTCAGCAAAGTAAAAATTAAAGTATACAAACAATCCAGCCAAGCTTCAAAGTGTATGCCTTCGATCCATAAGTAATGGCATTATTTTGCACCCTAAAAGAAGTATGAAGGAGCTTGGTTTTAACAGCTTCTGAAAAGCAAGGTACCAAGAGCTCTGGTAGTGATTAAAATGTCATATTGCAAGCTAACTCTGCTCACTGTCAGGAGTTCGATCCTGATGGGACTCAAGGTTGACTCAGCCTTCCATCCTTCTGTGGTTGGTAAAATGAAGACCCAGATTGTTGGGGGCAAGAGGCTGACTCTGTAAACCACCCAGAGAATACTGTAAAATGCTGGGAGATGGTATATGAACAGAAATGCTATTGCTCCAATCAACTCATTTAATCACGTACGTTTTTAAGCAGTTTTTATTAGTTTATAATACAGCATACAAAGAAAATACAAATTAAATACTAGGGAAAATAGGGAAGGGAAAAGTGAGGGAAAGAAAAGAGGAAAAAGAAAAGAAAAAGGCATTGACTTCTGACTCCGTTTGGTGCAGTAGAATAAGGCATCAACATCAAACCTCAAACTTTTTACTTTTCATTAATAGTATAAACTAGCCATTTCTATAACAACAAATCCATCTAATCGGTAAAACCCCAAATCAAACTTTCCATTTTTCCACCTCAAGCACAAAGTCTAGAAGCAGTTTCCAAGTAGAAATGAAAGTATTCATCAGGATTCCAGCGATCACGATTAATTACATCATGAGCCTTAAGCCCAATTTCAAAAAAAACTTCAAAGAATCCATTAGGAGGGACATACTGGCATGACCTGTATGAAGCCGATTCTGGCATACATAATTACAGTCACCTGTGACCCTGCTTCCCCCTCCCCCCTGGGTGTGCCATACATCAGTTTCTCCAATTAAGCATGCACACGGGCTAAGTGTCATCCATCACGTTCTCCAATTAAAGTTTTTTTGCGGGCAAAAGCTTCAGCCGCTTAGCTACAATCTTTTTTAAGATAAAGTTGGAATGTGCTTCTAAATTCATTTGCTGTATGCTTCTCCAAGTCCATTCCCCCGCCCAACTAATGCCAACTTGGAAACAGTATAGGAATATTTTACAAGTTGACAGTATTTATATATTTTTTCCTTCGATCAAAATAGTCAATGTAGCCATCTCTGCTAACTCCATCAGTTTTTGCAGCCATTCCTCAATTGTGGGGATCGAGGTGACATTTGATCATACTCATATGGGCACCCACCTCCCCAGAAGTGGCTCTGTGCAGTAAGTTACCATTGCTGATCCTGGCTGAGAATTCTGGGAGTGAAACTCCCATCGCAGCTGTAAAGCTGCTCTCCTCTTGGGAAAGGCCGTTCTCACACATCACCCCAGGTCTGCATATTTCTGCCATGAAGAACCTTAAGAAAAAAATGAGGTCCTTTCTAATGGCTCCTTTCGCTTGCAGTGGCTGGTGAACTATTTCGGCTCCCTTTCTGTGGAAGATTCCTTGGAATGCTTGCGGGCGATGCTGTCGGCAAACATCCGCCAGAACTTGCAGATCTGCGTCCAGGTGGCTTCCAAGTACCATGAGCAGCTTTCAACCCAGTCGCTCATCGAGCTCTTTGAGTCATTCAAGAGTTTTGAAGGTAGGTTGGTTGGGTTCCCACACCGTACTCCAAGTTCTGAATCCATGTCTCTGACTGCCTTGGTTCCTTCTGACTGTCCCCTGGTCCATTGAGAGGAGCGCATTTCTTGAAGTCATCGGGTCAAGAAGTTGTCTTGTCCTGTTTGGTTGGTAGAAACCAGTGGATGGGCATGTCAAGATGGTGGCCATCACTGCCCAGTTGAAGCTGTTCTCCTTTGTCCCAAAAGTGCTTTTTCACAAGGCAACTGGGCTTTCTTTGTTTTTGCTTGAAGAGGTTTTGCTTCTCATCCAAGAAGCATCTCCAGTTCTGACTGAATGGTGGGGGATTTATATTCCTTGCAGTCATCTGCTCATTAGCACTATCTCTGAGAGTTTTTGAGGCTGCTTGAAGGTTCCACACCCATTGCATTGTTCAGGTGACCCCGAGGGCACAGATAACACTCCAAGAGGCCTCAACGATCCTCGGAGAAATATTTATCTTGGATCATTGTCTGTGGATTTAAGTGTGACTAACCAAGGATTGAATTGGAGACTGTGTCTGCCTTTAGTATTCTCAAAACTCAGTATAATAGGTAGCCGATGTAATGCTTTACATGTAGACCTTGACTTACAACCGGTTGCTTAATGACCAAAGTTACAATTGGTTAAAAAAAAACACGGAGGGACTTATGACCCAGATTGGAAGTTCCAACGGTCAGGCCCCCTCCACAGTCACATGACCAAAATTTGGCCGCTGGCAACATGCCCACATTTACAGCTGTTTGCAGTGTTCCACAGGCTTGTGACTGCATTTTATGATGGTTTTGCCAAAAACAGTCATTTGTTTGCAATGTAATCAGTTAATCTAAGTTCACTAATATAAGTGTTGGGGTCCTTGGTGCTCTCTGAGCTTGGTTGTTTTCTTGCAGACATTTCATTACCCAACTAAGTAACATCTACAGTATAAAAATGAGAGCACAACTTCACTCCCTACTAGCACTGATTTTGTTACCTAGTTGGGTAATGAAACGTCTGCAAGGAAACAACCAACCTCAGAAAGCACCAAGGACCTCTCATTTCAGGCTTGAGCTACAAATATTCTTCCTCTTACCAAAATCCGCTAGGGACACGGTGGCTCAGAGGCTAAGACGCTGAACTTGTCAATCAGAAAGGTCGGCAGTTTGGCGGTTCGAATCCCTAGTGCCGCATAACGGAGTGAGCTCCCATTACTTATCCCAGCTTCTGCCAACCGAGCAGTTCGAAGGCATGTAAAAAAAATGCAAAAGTAGAAAAATAGGGACCAATTTAGTGGGAAGGAAGTAGCGTTCCATGCACTTTCGGCATTTAGTCATGCTGATCACATGACCACGGAGATGTCTTCAGACAGCGCTCTCCGGCTCTTCGGCTTTGTAACGGAGATGAGCACACCGCCCCCTAGAGCCGGAGACGACTAGTACATGTGTGCGAGGGGAACCTTTACCTATCAAAATCCATTACTTCCATCGCCAAAGATTTCTGACAAATTCTTTTCATGATGGACTCCTTTTCTTTTCCACTCCCTTCAAGGTCTCTTCTACTTCTTGGGCTCTATTGTTAACTTCAGTCAAGACCCGGACGTGCACTTCAAATACATCCAAGCTGCTTGTAAGACCGGCCAAATTAAAGAGGTGGAAAGAATTTGCAGGGAGAGCAATTGCTACGATCCAGAACGTGTGAAGAATTTCCTCAAGGTAACGGGATAAGAGTGACAACTCCCCCCCTTCCCCCCCACCTTTCATATGGGGACCTTATGTCAGGGTTCCTTACTTATACTAAAGGCCGTATTGGTTTTCTAAATGGTGAGGCTATTGCAGAGTGTTTCAAATTTGGGGTAACTTTAAGATGGGTGGACGTCGATTCCTAGAATTCACCCATCGTGCCAAGTTTGAAAAATGTTGGACCAGGAAGAGGCTGGAGGTATCTAAAGAACCCTGGTTGAATCCACAGGTGGGATAGGGGTTTGTTAGCCTAAAGAGCAGGTTGGACCAGGTTGCTTGGGGAGAAGAGATCCAGAACTCCACATTTGAACTCATAAAATAAAAGCTGCAAAGTTTTGGTTTTATTGTATGTTTGCAAGTTTCCAGGATTCTATACCTTACCCCTGATTCATGCATTAAATCTTACTGATCTAGGTGACTTGATTTTTTTTTTTTTTTATCAAGATAGGGCTAAAGGCTTGACCTTAGCATTTATTTTTAGCTTACTTATTTACTTGTTGAGCTTATATGTTCAGGCAGGTCTCTGAGCAGCTATTTCACGCAACAGCATGAGAAAACTCAAGTCCAGCTTTCAGATTGTCAAATCTGAAAATGTGGCATCCGTGGTGTTCCCTAAGCTTGGTTGCTTTCTTGCAGACATTCATTACCCAACTAGGAAACATCCTCAGTGCACTTAAATCAGTGACACCTCTACTATGGACAGATACGATGCCCTCCCTCCTGAGTAAAAAGGGAAAGAAAAGGATCTTGATTCAGCTCCCTTCTGAATTCTCACCAGGCATTCTCACCTGTCTGGTGAGAATTCCAGGAAAGGATCAATAATTTTTGTATAAATCCTGTAAAGCAGTGATCCCCAACCTTTTTTATGGTGCAGCCCGGTACCGGCATCAGCTGGGCACCGCCATCTTGTTTTGATGAAAAAGTGCTTCCGGTGAGCTTTCTACCCGGAAAAGCTCACCGGAAGCACTTTTTCATCAAAACAAGATGGCGGCGCCCAGCAAACCAGCGGCCCGGTAGGACTTGTTCCACTGACCGGTACCAGTCCGCAGACCGGTGGTTGGGGACCCCTGCTGTAAAGAACCACTTATGAGAATAGGTAGTCTTTATGCACACCTGTAAGAAATACTTTGCACCTTGGATAGAGATGTGAAGTCAGTATATCTGAAGGAAGATGTTTCTTCTGTGGGATCTTTGGTGCTCTCTGAGCTTGGTGAATTTCTTGCAGACACTTCATTACCCAACTAAGTAACATCATCAGTGTTGGAAGGGAGTGGGGTTTGCTCTCATTTTATAAACTAGTGGCTAGCTTGTCAGTATTCATGGGACCCCACTCGCTTCTAGCTCTGAAGAGGTTACCTAGTTGGATAATGAAATATCTGCAAAACAAAACAAAAAACAACCAGCCTCAGAAAGCATCAGGGACCCCACACCTTGCCTTACAAATACTCTTTTCTTGTTTTCTTCTGTCTTCTCTACTTTTCCCTGAATTCTGCAGAGGGACAGCAGGCAATCACCAGGTGATGGAGGGCTGCTAGAGATAATTTTGTGCTCAAGGGGCAGCAGCATCTTGGATTAATTCAGAAGATCGCTTGTGTTATTTTACAGGTGTTATTTTAAAAGGCCACATGACAAAACAGAGACAAGAAACTACCGCATGTGCAGCCATTATACACAAGGTTGCAATTGCCACTCACTCTGATGGCCTGGGGGGAAAACAGACAGAAGGGTTGGCCTAGGTAGGTAGGGTTTCAAGTTCACCCAACCGCCTTCTTGGACAACAACTTACAAATAATCGTTCCTTGTGTCCATCGTTTTCTGATCAGTCTGTTGTCTTTTGTGCTGTTCGGGTGTCTATGGATTATCCAGGACATGTACCAGGTAATTTTTCATTAAAGGCCTCGCTGATCAGTTCACACCTTTGGTCTCTACTCCTGCATAGTGTTATGGCTGGAGAATTCTGGGAGGCGCAATCCTAATGCAGCTGTAGGGCACCAGAGGGAGGAAATGATGCCTAAGTTAACTTCCTGGGGTTGGGTCTTGAAAACAATGCAGGGATGTGGCTTAATTGGTAGCCTTGGCATAGTATTCAACACAGGTAGTCCTCAACTTACGACCCAAAATTTCTGTTGCTAAGTGAGACGGTTAAGTGAGTTTTTGTCCCATTTTATGACCTTTCTTGCCCTAGTAATGTGTGTTTCGCTGCAGTTGTTCAGTTAGCAACACAGTTGTTAAGTGATTGGCTTCCCCATTGACTTTGCTGGTCAGAAGGTTGCAAAAGGTGATCACACGACCCTGCAACCGTCATAAAATTGAGTCAGTTTCCAAGCGTCTGACTTTTGATGGTGTGATCGTCTGGATGCTTCAACGGTCATAAGTGTGAACAACGGTCAAAAGAACCTCATTTTTTTTATGAACTTCAAACAGGGTTGCTGCAGGAGTTTTCTTTAAAAAAAACAACAACCCTGAGACTTTGTGCTGAAATAAGCTCAGATTCTATACAGAAATACTCCCCAAAAGACAGTTTTAAATCAAATAAATTTTATTTATTTAATACAGTATGATGCAATGTATAAAAAAATGGAGATTTTGTTAAAATGTAAAAAACTAGAAACCCAGACAGGGAATTGAAAAAGTCAGGTCTGGATTTAAAAACCCAGCACTAGCAACCTTAGAGTGGAGATGTAAAATTCTCCCTTAAGGAGGGACCATTGGAAAAAAAACAGATAAAAGGAAATTTTTGTCACAGTCATTCCTCTGTTTAAAGCAGGGGTATCCAGCTTTGGCAACTAACTAAGATTTGTGGACTTCAGCTCTCAGAACTGGCTGGGGAATTCTGGGAATTGAAGTCCACAAGTCTTGCCAAGGTTGGACATCTCTGGTCTAGATCGTGCTGCATTGGTTACAATTCAGTGATTAAAAAACATTTCAGCACCCACTTCAAACATTTGGCTTACAAGCAAGAATCTCATTTAATTAAGTGAAAAATCTTCCTTTCAAATGAAGGCAATCTTGAGTATCCATCCCCAGCTTTTTACCTATATACATATATTAGGAAGCAGAATTAGAAAAGCATTTATATGTTTCCAGTTGGCAAAAATTTCCCTCTCTGGATATCTGGGAATTGTTTAACCACTGCAATTTATGAGCCTGTGGGAGGGGAGAAAAAAGACGCCTGTATCTTATTTCTTGCAATCCCAGAGTTCATCCTGCACACTCAGTAATTGCTGCAGCTGATATATACCGATGTTTAGATTAGGCTTGTAATCCTTTGTGGTCTTGTGCTTTTGGTAAAACTCTTATCTGGAACCTGAGCTGCCTGGAAAGTCTGGATAGTTTTAATATGAATGATCCATGTAAGAACTTGAAAAACACTGAGACTTTGAAACGTGTCCTTTTTAAGAGAGAGATTTGAATGAGAATTCAGCTGTTCCTGGCTAATTGAACTCTTGGGCTTTTCCATGCAAAGATTTATCACTTACTGTCTGGTTGCCATTTTATATTTGATATATTGGGTAAGTGTTTTTAAAAGGTTAAGTGATTATGTTTCAGTTTATTGTTGGCTTTTTGCTGTAGAGTTGGGCAGCCCTAGACAGCCATTATTAATTTAATAAATAAACAATCAAATTCCTGCTTTCTGTTTGCAGGAAGCCAAGCTGACAGACCAGCTCCCGCTGATCATTGTTTGCGACCGCTTTGATTTTGTCCATGACCTGGTCCTGTATCTGTATAGGAACAGTCTTCAGAAATATATTGAGATCTACGTGCAAAAGGTAAGAGACCATCTTCAGTTCATTTTTTTTAAAATTTTTATTTATTCATCAAATTTAGAAAGCACTCAATCTCCCTCAGAGAGGGACTCTGGGCAGCGCGCAAATAAAATATTAAAACATAAAAACTGTACGTAAAGTTTAAAATGAGCCAAAGATGTTTAAAATTCGACATTCAAAAGTTCATTAAGAGGCAGTGTGTGTGTGGCTTTTAGGGAGCTAACCAGCTCCATGGCTGCATGCTCATCTTTGAACCCCAAGAAAGACGGCAGATCCAGGCCTTCAAATATTTCCAAAAGGCCTGGTGAATGTAAGGGCACCTTACCTTTGAAGGGAGAACGTTCTAGAGCAGGGGTGTCAAACTCACGTTGTCATGGCAGTGTCACATGACGTGTCGTGAGTTTTTCCCCCTTTGCTAAACTGGGTGTGGCCGTGGCCAGTGTGTGACACATCTGGCCTGCGGGCCATGAGTTTGACACCCCTGTTCTAGAGAGCAGGGGCAATGGCAGAAAAGTCTGTCTTCCTGGACCCCACCAATCAGAATTCTTTAACTCGAATGAGAAAAGTACATCTTCCTCCCCCTGTCCTTAACACTTACTATAAAGGGACAGTTGAGAGCATCCTGTGGTATTGCATTACTATGTGGTTTGGAAGCCTTCCTGCTTCGGAAAGGAAGGCGGGGCAGAGAGTGGAAAGGGTGGCAGAAAAGATGATGGGCCGTTCACTCCCTTCTATCCAGGACAGGGCACATAAGCGATGCCCGAGCCAGGGTCCGCAGGATGGTCTGGGACACTACACCTCCTCTTCACAACCTGTTCTCCTTGCTACCTTCTGGGAGGGGGTTTCGCGGTATCCGAAGCAGAACATCCAGATTCAATCACAGTTTTGTTTCCATAGAGCAGGGGTGTCCAACCTTGGCAACTTTAAGACTTGTGGACTTCAACTCCCAGAATTCCTCAGCCAGCTTTGCTGGCTGAGGAATTCTGGGAGTTGAAGTCCACAAGTCTTAA